ACTAATTATAGATTCAGAAAGTTACCCTAGCTTTACAGCAATGATTTCTGAACTGTGTTTCCTGGAATACTATGTCATAAAATGTTAGCAATTATTGCATGAGGAAAATTTCAGGGAAACTGAAAAATGAACTGACATTGACAGGAAGCCACTGTGCATCTATTCCAATGCACTTTGGCTTTGCTAGGTTATGCTTGGGAAAGAAGTTATAGCGCTGGAAGAAAAAGGTTCATTTTGAAGTCAGTTGGAGATTTTTCAGAGCCAAGAACGGACTATTAACCTAAGCCAATGCAGATACAAGAGTTGCTAAGATGGTCTAGCCAGTGGTTCTCAACTCGAGTGTACGTTAGATTCACCCACAGGGCTTGTTAAGACACAGATTGCTGGGCCCCATCTCCAGAGGATCTAATTCAGGGGTGGACCCCAGGAATTTGCATTTCTAACAAGTTCCCAGGTGATGGTGCTACTGCTGCTGGTCCCAAGACCTCACTTTGAAACCCACTGCCCTGCGCCCAGCCTGGCGCCTGAGAGATACGAGACTCTTTGTACAAGTACATGACTTTTCTGCCTGAGGGTTACCACATTGCAGGAAATCAGTCGGATGGGTTTCTACTGTGTGTGAAGGTGTGTTGGATGGTCCAGCTTCAAAGTCAGGCTTCTAGAAACATACATGGGCTTTGTTTGGGGAAGGTTTACTACTTTGAGACAGTCTTCCTCCAGAACAGCTGCAGGTATCATTAGCAACAGGGAGTCTTCTCATAGGGACAACTGAATGTAGCAGGTTCCATTTATACGCTAAATGATGGTCCATGATTCTCCAACATGTGCAAAGCTGGAGAGGTCAGTTAATAAATCAATCAGTATTCCCTGACGTTTCCTGACAGGGAGACATGGTCCTTCAAAATGGGAATAAAATTCAACATGAATTTAACAGGAGACTAGAGTGCTTCAGAAATAAAATAAAATTCATCTTGAACAATTGCAATGTGATATATTTGGGGATTAAAAAAAATACAAATATAGGTTCTAAAAAGACTGCTCAAGCAAATGTGTATCAGAAAAACAAGGAGAATGTGAAGGGTCAGAATGTGGATGTGAGTCAACCAAATTATGGTGTCATGGACAAAAGGCAAAAATACATCCTGAGATCTGTCACATAGGGCTGGGACACGATGTCCCTCAACCTCAGGGCATCTCAAACATGGTACCAATCTTTGTAGAGCATACTCTAAAAAATGAAGAAGTTAGAAAAAGTCCATGACATATTAACATATATCTCAAAAATATGAAATTGCCATAAGCAGAAAGGTGTGAAAGAGATTTGGGTTGTTAAGCCTGGAAAACAATGAAGGTCACTCTATTCTACCTTTAAGAGAATGAGAGTTCTCTGCCTCTGGCCTTTCAGTACATTGGTAAAGTAAGCAAGAGAAAATGGCCCTGGTCTTTAAGATATATGTGATTTTAGTTAACTTTGAGGAAAAATATTCTTTAAAACAGGATGATAAAACACTGAGCATATGTCATTTTTGGCCTTGGAAATTTGCAAGAAACTAATAGTGGTTTTAGAGTGCCTTTAGAATTTCATAGAGCTCTTTGATGATTTCTGCACAGTCCTGGAGAAAACTTGAAGGAAAGAATTGCCATATTATTTGAAACAGTGCAAATGCCCATTAATGGGAAAGTGCATGAATAAACTGTGATATAGTCACACAGTGGACTATTATACAGCAGTCAAAATGATGAACTATAGTAACACACGATAATGTAGATGAATCTTTTTCATATAATATTGAGTGAAAAAAGCCTCAGAAGATTACTTACAGTATGATACCCTTTTATAGAGCTTAAAACAACTAAACGAAAAATTTTAGTACTTTTTAGGAATACAGGTAGTTACAATATAACCATATAAAAGGAAAGCAAGAGATGACTACAGTGAAAAAGACTGACAATACTAAGGGTGGGCAAGGATATGGATCAATGGAAATTCTTACATAAGGCCGATGGGAAGACAAATTGGTTACAACCATTTGAAAAACTTTTTGGCAGTATCTACTGAAGCCAAATATACACAAACTCTATGAGTCAGCAATTCCACTTCTAGGTATACACTCAACATATTTCACCAAAAGACATGTTCAAGAATGTTTGTAGCATCGCTATTCATTAAAACCCCAAACTGTTCATTAATAGGGGAATGGATAGATAATGTGTGATATAATCATATAAAAACACTATACAACAGTGAGAAAAAACTAATTATGCTTACGCACAAGAATATAGATGAATCTTGCAAACATAGTGTTGGACAAAAGATACAAAAGACTATATATTACATAATTCCATTGATATAAAGTTCAAAAACATGGAAAACTGATTTGTGATGGTAGAGGTCAGGCTACTGGTTATCTGAGTGGGGGTAATGACTGGGAGGAGGCATGAAGGGGGCCTCTGGGGTTCTGTTTCTATTTCTTGATCTAGATGCTGGTTACCTGGATGTGTTTACATTGTGAACATTCACTTAGGATTTGTGCACATGCCTGATGTCTTATACTTCAATGAAACGCATATTTTAAGAGAGAGAGAAGAGAGATAGAAAAAGGGAGGGGAAAATAACCAAAACCAAAAAAGATGGAAGATATGAGGAAGAAAGAAGTATTCGTAAGCATATATTTCAAAGCATATATAGTATGACTAGACAGTAAAACCTTTTTTAGCAGTGTTTTTCCTTCATGTTTAATGTTTATGTCTATTTATATAACCATACTTTTTAGTACACTTTACAGTAACATCTTTTCTGATTTAAAAAGTAATATGTGTTTTTTTTTAAATTTCAAAATAAGAAAGAAATCCATGATTCCATCACTGAGATCTAATCACTCGTAACATTTTGACGTGTATCCTCCCAGTCTTTATTTGATTTAAAAAATTTTTTTAAAGCGGGATTTAGCGGTGTGGGGAGGAAAGCTAAGAAATGATGAACATGTGGTTCAAGCTGATGGTTTCCTTGGTGAGAGAGACACAGGAGAACAGGGTACAAGAGGGGAACCTACAGATAGGCTACTACTGATGTTCTTTGCTTTGGGTGGTAGATTCACAGATGCTTATTCATTATTAAGACTATCTTAGAGGAGCTGGCCCAGTGGCGCAGCAGTTAGGGTCGCACGTTCTGCTTTGGCAGCCTGGGGTTCACCGGTTCGGGTCCCGGGTGCGGACGTGGCACCGCTTGTCAAGCCATGCTGTGGTAGGCATCCCACATATAAAGTAGAGGAAGATGGGCATGGATGTTAGCTCAGGGCCAGTCTTCCTCAGCAAAAAGAGGAGGATTGGCAGCAGATGTCAGCTCAGGGCTAATCTTCCTCAAAAAAAAAAAAAATCTTAGAAATAAAAAATAAAATAGGTGAAGGTAGTCAAAAAGTACAAACTTCCAGTTATAAAATAAGTCCTGGGGATGGAATGTACAGCATGGTGACTATAGTTAATAATACTGTATTGTATGTTTGAAAGTTGCTAAGAGAATAGATCTTAAAAGATCTCATCACAAGAAAAGAAATTGTGACGATATGTGGTGACGGATGTTAACTAGACTTACAGTGAGCATCATTTTGCAATGTGTGCGAATACTGAATCATTATGTTGTGCACCTGAAACTAGTACAATGTTAAATGCCAATTATGTCTCAATTCCCAAAAGGAGTAAAAATATCTCTAGAAAATATTGGAGAATCACTGGGCGATAAAACTAATTTAAATAATAAAAGAACTCAGTAAGGTATCAGAATATATAATTAACATACAAAAATCAATCGCTTTCATGGACACAAACAGTAACCAGCTAGAGGACATAATGGTAAAAAAGGGGGAAAAGCCCCATTTATATAGTAAAAAAGGTGACTAAATACTTAGGAATAGGGGCGGGCCCCGTGGCACAGCGGTTAAGTGCGCACGTTCTGCTTTGGCGGCCCGGGGTTCACCAGGTCGGATCCCAGGTGCAGACATGGCACCACTTGGCAAAAAGCCATGCTGTGGTAGGCGTCCCACATATAAAGTAGAGGAAGATGGGCATGGTTGTTAGCTCAGGGCCAGTCTTCCTCAGCGAAAAGAGGAGGATTGGCAGTAGTTAGCTCAGGGTTAATCTTCCTAAAAAAAAAAAAACTTAGGAATAAACTTGACAAGAATGTGCAAAATCTACAAGAGGAAATACTCTTTAAAGACACAAAATTAGACTGGAACAAAAGGAAAAGCATCCTGGTTCTTGGGTAGGACCACTCAAGATCATAAAAATGTCAGTGTAACATAATCCCCATAAAAATATCTACAAGCTTTTTGTATGGAGCTAGACAAGTTGGTGCTAAAGTTCATAAGGGAAACAAACATTCAGGAATAACCAGGAACACACTAAGAAATAAAAACTACAAAGGTGGACTGGTCCTACCAGATATTAAACCATACCAAAAGTCACCATAATTAAAACAGGGTGCTACTGCCACAGAGTAGATGGGCTTTTTAATAAATGCTGCTGGCACAACTAGGCAGCCACTTGAAAAAGATCAAATTAGATCTGTATCTTACACCAAATGCAAAAATAAACTCCACACTGATCAGGAAACTAAATGTAAAAAAGAGAAAAGTTAGATAGACAATAATTTAATAAATTAAACTCGAGAAAATAAGGTGAATTCTTCTAAAAACTCAGTGTAGGGAAAACTTTCTAACACTGACTCAAAATCCAGGGGCAATAAAAGAGCTAATTCATACATTTGACTACATAAAAATGTTTTTAAAAATTGCGTGGTAACATAAAGTCGAGGAAGAACTGCCAAATTAGAAGAAAACATTTGCAGCATATATCACAGATAAGGGGCTAGAAGCCACAATATATAAAGAACTGAAAATTTGAGGGGAAAATCACCAAAACCCTGATAGAAAAACAGGACAGATATATGAACAGAAACAAATAAATAAAAATAACTTGATAAACAAATAATAGTGGGCCAGGCGTGGACCAATGATGAGGATGTGTCACCAACCAAGAATTATGATTAATCCAGTTTTGTGCACCTGAGGTTCAATTAAAACTACAAATATTCTCATAATAGATTTTATACTGTCTTTGGAAGTAAGTTTAAAGTTCAGAAGCCCTAAAGTGATGTTGTTAAGATATGCTAGGCTGCACTGACAACTCAGAAATGAAAGGAAAACGGCTTCCCTTCCTTTTCTTCATAAACCTCACGTAGTTTTTTCGGTGAGGTGTAAATTCCAGCTCATATACATGATAAAATTGGCCGCTTCAAACTCAGATGTGTCACAAGGTTTCAGTGTGAACCAGATAAGCTTCCCAGGTTCCTTCTACCTATAAAATTCTGTATTTGAGATTAGTGACCTGGTGTCCCAAAACAGTCTCCTTAAGTCCACGCACCCAGTTAATGAGGCGAGAATGACTTCCCCAGACCCTTCCTCCTAATGACACAGGGAGTTCCCCCTGGGGACCTTCTTAGTGCCTGCGGCAAAACTCAAGGCTTAGGTATTTGTTTTTGTGTCTATATCCTTATCACTGTTTATAAAAAAGGAGAGATTTAATATGGGGAGGAAATTGGGGTGAAATAAGAACAAGAAGAATAAGTAATACCACGAGTAATATTAGAACACAAAACTGCACGCTTTTGGTTTCTATTTGAGGGGGAGCCGGGCCACAAATCTGGCTCTCAGCTTCCTAGCAGAGCAGAGAGGGAAACAGGAGGAGATAGAAGATTCATAATGCTTATAAAATAATTTGGGTCAGTTTCCAAAGAAAACTAATATTTCCATTTGCTTAGATATATGTCCCAGTGGTATACTGGAGCAAGCTTCTGCCAGGTCGTAAGAGCCAATGGTTAAATATCAAGGATTTTTGCAAGTCAGTTGTTAAACCACTGGTGGCTTGAAATCTGCCAGGGTGGGAGTATTCAGCAAACACTACAAATCAGGGCATTTTTTTGTTTGTTTTTTCCTTTTTCGGCCATTGGAGAGCTGGTTTACCAGCACACCACTGCATGTCCCTATGGTCCTTGTAGGAGAACACTATGCAGGGCCAGGGGAGCTGCAGGTGGGAAGGAGAAAGGCTCCCACTTGTGTGCAAGAAACAACCTGCAGGAAAAGAGAGCAGGGATGTATGCCTGACATCAGAGAATGACTGGAGATGCATCAGCATTCACCTCCCATCGTGGTCCTTCTTTTTAGTGCTCCCCTTGGGAATTTCATGCCTGGGGATACAAAAAATGCTATGCCCAGCGAGGGGCAGACATATCTTCCCATTCAAAAATGCCTCCAGAGAGACTGGGAGAGGCTCAGGGGAAGGATTCTGTGCTTTCTACTAGACCAGCCCCCCCCACAAGCCTGTATTTATTTCACAGCATTGCGACAAGTGTCCTGCTGATGGCTGGTGGGGGGGGGGCGGGGAGCATCCCATGCAGAAATAAATTTGGAAACGAGTGGGTTAAAGTTAAGCAGTTATCTTTACTGCGGGACTTCTCAGAGCCTTTGGGAGGCGAATGTACCCTTGTGGCACAGAGCGAACATCAATTCCCAAATTTTTTTTACCCCAGAACAGTTCGTGGTGGCACATCGTGGGACACCAGACTGAAAAATGCCACCCTGGGTAGTCAGGCCTCCTTGGGATTTTGAAAGGCAATACCAGGACCTTACTCCACAGAAATATTTCTTTCATGAAGGATATGAAGGTCTGGCATTTTTCTTTAGAAAAACATGGCTTGCACATCTTTGCTTTTCACCTGAACAGTTTCATTAAGCCTGTGGGTGTCCACACGTCCATCAGCAGAGCTTTCTTAAGGCTAGAAGGGAAATGTTTCAGGACAAGAAATTTCTTAACTCATGGCCTGTGTCCTCAGGAACTCAGTCAGTCCTGTCGTGGAACACCAGGCACTGGCAATGTCAAAGCCCGAAGCCAGCATACATTTTCAACTGACAAGATGCTGGAGCAGAGAATGAGCTTTTCTCATCACTTTTTAACCTTGAATGTTCACCCCTCCCCCAGCTCTCATTGTATTTCTTTTCTCCTCTTCTGTCATTTTCTGTCTTCTTGCAATAGCTTCATAAACCCCTAAGACAGAGTTTATCATGTTGATTCATTCACTTAATCATTTACGGAGCCCCTCCACGCTCTGGGCTGTGAAAGGGACAGACCCAGCCCTGTCGTCAAGGAGCTCATGGTACAGTACAACATTACTGAATTCTCATTTCCTCTCCTATTTATCTCCATTCTTTGATTTGTCTAGGCTACCTCTCCCAACTCTGCTCGGTGCCCCATGCGGCTCCTCCCCACTCTTGTTCATCCTTTATCGTCCCTTCCTGATAGCTTTTTCCAATGACTAACAGGAACCCAGCTCAGCTGGTTTTTATCACGCTCCTGTCCTTGCATTTTTCCGACTCAATTAAGCCATTACCAGGGCTAAATGAGGCATGGACTCTCCAAAAGTCACACCTGTTGTCAGGGAGATGGAGGGTAAGAACCTGGCAGCTGGCCGGGGGAGGCAAGAAGGGCTGGAGGGAGGCAGCCGAGTGTGACCCGGCAGAGTGAGTTCCCCCAGTACTGAAAGAGGGCCCTCATTGTAAAACAAGATGTCCTTTGCTGTAATACAGAAGGAATGAAGTCTGACACAGGACTGAGGATGGTCACATTGGTGATGACAGATAAGATGTCCCTAATTCTTTGGCAAACATGCGCCAGGTGCGTATCGAAACCCACACTGTGGATGTGTCCTCCGCAAGAGGTAAAGAAAGCTGTAACCAGAGCCAAGCACACAGGTTTTGGATTACTGGCTGAACTTTCTCAGGACTTTCCCTAATCACCTTCATGAAACACACACGTTTCACCTTTCTGCAATGGTGGCTTCACACCTTACTGTTAGTATTCTTTATGGTCAGTGTGACAAAAGAAGGCAAAGATTACAGTACAATAAACCAGAGGCAAATCAGTGTACTCACCCTACAAAGACAAATGATCTCTATTGGAAATCAATTTTGGCTTCATAACCACCTTTTTTCTAGATAGCCTAGAATTTTTATTTCTGCAGTCTAGGAATTGAGAAATGTGTAGCTTTTGAGCTTGCTGTGCCTCTTATTTACTAAGTGGTTTTATGTTCAGAAGGTCTATGCCTCGGTTTTCTCTTGCTGGAAATGTGGGCACAATCATTCTCTTCTAGAGTAAAACAATTTCCAGACATGTTAAAGCCAAGGGGCAAGAGCCAAGGTGGTTTTCACTTTGGTAGAAATTGAAATGTTGCAGTGTTGACTGCTAACCTTGTCCTCCTAGTCTCTGTTAATTTGCTCTTGACTTGGATGAGCCATCCAACTTTTTGGACAAATCCAAGTTCAACAGATGTTTTTTGAGCATCCGTTCAGTCCCAGGTTCCCTCTTCGATGCTGGGATGCAACCGTGATCCTGATGAAGCCTCTGCCCTCAGGAACCTTCCATCTTGCGGGGCGACCCCTTCCGTCTTCTGTCCTAGAATTGCCCACCCAGCTCCTGGTTTTTACTGGTCATGCTTCATTCATTTATTCAGTAAATATTTGTGGAGCATCTACTAAGTTCCAGGCCTTGTGCTTGGTGCGAGGCTACAATGAGGAGGAAAAGAGAGACGAGTCCTACCTTCATGAAGCTTCCAGTCCCCACCTTGACTTAATTCTCTCACCAGAAAGAAGGCCACTCCTCCCTCCCTCTCCCTCAACACTTAGCTCAAGCCTCTTCTAGCATTTGCATCACTGTAATTATAATACATCTTTCTATCTCCTTTTAAACCATGGGCACCTTGAAGGCAACAATCTCAACTTTCTCTCCTGAGCACCTTGCGCTCCTTAGTGTCTGGCACATAGAGGAGCTCAATAAATGTTTTTTGAATGAATCAATAATTGCATGAATTTACAAATTCATGAACCTGTGGAACCGTAGATCAGTCTGCCCTGACCTCGTGCCCCGTGTCTCTTGGGTGAGGAACTCAGGGATCAATAATCTGTCAGCACTCAAACACTCCTCATGATTTCAAGGACTTCTAAACATAAACCAGCTGGTCCACGGGTCATTTCTTCTTCCAGAATGGATCTGCCATTGAGAGAAAGAACAAATACTACCTTCGGCTTGTGTTTGCAGTACTGTTTTTTGCAGGAAAGCAAACATAATTATATATGGTTTAAATGAAATAAACTCATAGTAAGGAGAACAAATGAGTTTATTTGTGACTCTTGGATAGATACCATTAATATAGCTACAGTAAGAAAAAATATACATACGATGGCTTAAAGAAGCTAGAAGCTTTTTTTACCTGTCATGTAAAAGCCCAGGAATAGTCTGGTATCAAGGTTCTGCTCCATGAAATCCTCAGCTCGTGGCACCATCAGTCCCTAGGATATGGCTCAGGGTTCAAGATGGGCTCCAGATGTCACATCGACCTCCATGCAGCAGAATGGAGAAAGAGGAGGATGAAGGGACAAAGGGCAAACACCAAGTTTCCTGGAAGCTGTCACAAAGCACTTCAGCTTACATCTCATTGGCCAAAACTTAGTGATATGACCACATATAATTATAAAAGAAATTGGGGAAAGTAATCTTTATTTTGGGCAATGACTTGTCCAACTAAAAGCTATTTTACTATGGCCTAAAAGGAGTAGAGACGTGAGGGATACAATTAGAAGTCTCTCCTGCAGATACTAAAACTGAAGTGTTGTTAGTGATTATTCAAGCACTTTTGTATTCTAACTATTGCAGGCTGAAGTCACAATGATGAACTCCAAGTGTTCATCTACTGTGCTAGGATCATACTTGGTACTGCTCTGGTTGTCGATACCTAGGAGGTGGGAGGAGTGAGGTAGAGGAAAGAGTAGGGAGGCAGGTGATGGGAGCCTGGACCAAGGCGGTGGCAACAGGATGGAGAGGAGGAGGCAGAGTGGAGAGAGAGAGGGCAGGATCAACAGGACATAGTGATGGGATATTGGAGGAAAGGGAGGGGGAGGGTTTAGAATGATTCTCAGCTTTGAAAGCAAATTAGATCCTGGTAATTGGACTAAAAAGGGTGGTTTAG